ACTTACACCCTTCTGTCCACAACGGTATCGTCTACAGCCAGCTTAACAGATACTTAGTTATCGAATTCACTTGTCAAGGATTTATCACGTCCACTCGTCGTCTTCTCTTCCACTACTCCCACAAGGGACTTTCTTCTCATAACATTAGTCGTCTAGTCAACATATTTGTGCACAGAAATACATACCAACTTTCTAAATATTTCCCTCCTACGGAGGCCCACTGTCAACGTCTGATACACGCTCTTCTACAATAACTGCACCCAACGTGCACGTGTAAGCCGCGTTGTTAGCGTTCCGTTCATATTGCTACTTCCTCCTCTCGACACTTTTTCACTTCCACATTACAGCTTTCTAATTTTTTTTACCCTAAATTTATACTTTTTCAAATACCCTAAATTCATACTTTTTAAAAATTCTTCTCGTTCTTATCTTCTTTCTTCTTGCCTTCCATTCCCTCTTCTTCTCATTTCTGAACACTACGATCGTCATACTGACGACGTCCGGTCGCGGTGTTGAGCTTAGACGTATATGACTTCACAGACCGAAACGTCTTAACTCTCTCGCACTTATTTTTCCTGTACCAGCAATATTTCTACATCTTGCATTACATAGTTCGTTCTATCCTTGCCTTCTTTTTCAAGTTCTTCGTATTACTTTCATGCTACAATCATGCGATAATCAGCTTACCAACTCACTAATTGTGATGCAAAAGCTCGCCACACTAGGCAATACTATCGAATATTTGCATACTGCTGACTTCAGCAATCTTTTCATTAGTCTACCATATTCTTACATCATTGATAATCTGTTCTATCTCACCGACCTTTGTTTCACCAGTGCAGAGAAAGAACACACTGGTCTAAGTTAAACTCAAACTTGGTATGCTAACGAACTCACAGGTGGTGTCATATCCTATACTAAGAATGAATTCAAGACGATTCTTCGGATCGTTCTTCAAGAAACATACGTTCACCTTAGTGGTTACATTTTCAAGCTAGAACAAGGTGTACCAATGGGCAGTAACGCTAGTCCTGATATTGCCGATCTCACATTGTCATTCATGGAATATCGGTTCCTCTGTAACAATCCTTGGATTCATCTTCATCTATTTCGATATATTGATGACATTATTGTTAACTGCGCAAACTTTGCTGAAATTGCCAGTAACATCTATGGGTTCAGCCTCCGAACACCACTTACTCCGGACAAAGGGCTTGTTTCTTAGACCTTGAAATTTTGTGCCGAGAAGGTAGTTGTATTTTCAGTGTAAGAAATAAAACCTTGGACTGCCCATTCACAATAAATCACTGGAGTATTCAGATAGCGATGTGGACCAAATGCTGCAAGAAGGTGTCATTATATCGCAACTGCTTCGTTATGCATTTATATTCACTCTTCCAGAGGGCTCCATAGATGGGCTATACGGCCTATAAAAGTATCTACAGACATAAAAAGATTGATATTGCCAAAATAGAATGCTTTATTCTCAGATTCTGTTTCAGGAACCGATCAGTACCCAGCAAATTCATCTTTTCTGACGATTTGAAGATTAAACGTCTAATCAGCACGCTAATCTCATAAAAAGCGTTCCCTCACAATTAATATATAATGAATGTCAGTCTCCTTTCACTCTTCTTCCACTCTATTTGCCCTCTCTTCCTCTCCTCTGATTTCTGTTTCTTTCGCATATCCGTCTTGCAAATTAGTTACATGACTGTTCGGTAGATGGCGAGTAGGCGACTGTATTGGTAAATCCTCCTTCTACTCGTATGCATAATTCGGTCTGTGTTTACAGCTAAGGGATGAAACACAGACTGCATCGTAAAATGTCTTCTCACACATGACACTTAAGTCCAATTCCTCTATTCTACTATTTCATATATATCTTTCCTAACAATTATTGTATTTTGCTGAGAAATGAGAACAGCGAAGTAGTGAATGCACGATGCCAGTTGGACATGCTGAACTGCTTCCATCCCCCAGTCTTCACATGCCCCTGCTCCTCGCATTCCCCGCTTCGAAACCTCATTTGCTATAATGCCTCAAACGCTAACTGCTATTCAACCAACAAATAATAACACTTTCAGAATACAATCAAAGGTGTTATGGTGATCAGTAACGGTGTGCAAGCCGACCGGGATGGAAGTGCCGCAATTCGACGTGCCAAGGAAATTTGTCGCCTCATCAAATCATTACCTGAGGCTCAAAAAATACCGATATATGCGGCAGTAAATTCTTACGAATCTGGTCGTTTTCCCAGGTAGACGATACTTATGATATCGCCATGCTTTTTTGCACTGCTCGAAGATGCTTTTTGGCTCACTTTTTCTTCGCTGTCCAATCCACTTGGACAGTTCTGGTGCCTGTTGCTCCAAAACAAAAGCGCTAACGCCCTGGCCCTAGTCCTCTTTTGCTTGCTGACTTTCAAACAGTATCTGTACCTTTCTCTCATTCTCCGAATGCACAGATGTTCAACGAAATTGTGTCGCGCCGAACTACTCCTTATTTTTTGCCATTGTAGAATGTATGGAGGGCAAAATGGTACGAGCGAATCGTGGAGTTTACAGTTCCCCGCAATGGAGCCTCCAGTTGTCGATTCGTCTAAAGCTGAAACACCATTAAGTTTTGGTGGACCGCTTACCCTGATCGTTTTCGGAGGTGAAGCAGTGGAAGCAACCGCTTACTTTTTAAAAGTCGAGGAAATCGAGCCAAATCCACGTTTTGAGCAATGGAAGGTATGCTTTGTTATATGTTGCTCTAAAACACTTTTTGGGTTTGGTCATGTTCGCTTCTCCATGTCCGTTTAGTTCCCCTTTTGGCCATATGTTCATCAGTCACGATTTTATTTATCAGTCGCGACGATTTTGCCATTTCCGAAAAATTTGGCAGTGGTTTGGATGAAACTATTCAGACTCGTTACTTTTGCTTCACAGCCCCAAGCCCAATGTTTTCCATGCCTCCTCGTCAGTACTAGGTTTATGTCACTGACACCAGCTACATTATTAGCGTAGCCAAGAAAATCTTAAAAAGA